GACTGGATCCTGATCTGAGACCGAAGGTGTCCTTACGACCCCCTTGAAGCCGCAGAATAATTACCATTGTAATTCAAATAAAGGTTCTGTCACCAGTTGCCACGGCTCCAACTATATAAGTGACTGCAGACGGCCAAGTTTCCGACTTGACAACGTTCTATCTTTTGATAATGTTATAGTATAGTGCTACAGTTCTGTTCCGTGACACCAGTGTTAAGCGTAGATAAATACGAACGACAATGACGGCCCAATCAGACTCGTTGCCATCAAAAGACCCACCGAAATCCCGAAAGCCTCTCAATTACTTGCTACCAATCATTACATATATCAAAGGAACTGCACGAGAAATCCGGTCGGATTTATCTACTCGATGGGCTCACGTCTCCTTTATGTTCTACCTGGGAATCACCCCAGTCAATTTTAGTACATTGGGCCCTGATCCGTATCTCCTTAACTTGTATGGCTCGGATTCTGCTTGCCATCAAGATGACACCTTTAGCACGATGATTAAACCCCTGGAGTATTACCGGCTTTTTTCAGATCAATGTTCCATTTGGAAGTCTTACTTTTACCCAAGCAAAGGTGATCGATACGGTTTAGGATGTCGTAAGAGAACACAATTCCCAAGCCGAATTGAAGGCTAATAACTTTTTTCTGAGGCTGTTGGTCGCGTTGGGGAAAGTATACTTGCTTTTCTCCTTTGGCGGTTTATCGTCAATTATGCGACAGTTTCCCTTAAACTAAGCTCACGACATCGACGGAACTTCGTACGATTTGCCAAATTTCAACTGCTAAACTATATCATACACGATGAATGGAGAACTGTCTCAGTGGAGATTACTGTAACAAGGGCTTAAGATCAAGGGCTTCGAAGCGATTTCGAATCACAATAATCATCTGGGGCTTCAAGGGGGCTATGAAGGTCTAGTACTCCCTGTCAGCCTGGCGGCGGCCTAAGGTCTATATATGGGAAAGCCTTGTTTTCGCTCCTTGCTCTCGCTCGCTCTCGTATAGCCTGTCTCATTCGATCAAGCATATACGGGTAGCAAGTCTAACCGCTCATATGATTATATATACGGTATTGGAGTCCAGTCCCTTGGGTTCGTGTGACAATTACCCAGTCACTGCCTTCTCAAGTAAGTTGATTGTATTCACTAAAATAGAAAGCTTTGCCGGCGAAGCTCTAATCATTTTGAAAACGCCGTAAATCAAAGTGCTAGCCTAGGGCACTTCAATTTTTAAAGACTACTAGGGGGAGACCCCCTGGGAACTCGCCTTCGGCCACGAACCCCTTCCACCCTTCAACCACTTTGGGGGATTTAGGGGTTCCCAAGCACCAAAAGAATTCACACAAAGCGTACGCCACAACTCTACTGCAACTCTAAACAAATAAGTGAACTGACAAATGGGAGAGCTGATAAATAGAGAGTTTTAGGGGGTCCTGTACCAATAACATTAGTCATCAAACATACCTCACTCAAAGTTAAAACACTCGCACCAAACCTTAAATATGCATCTCAACCCCCCCAACAATTTCCCAAGGCGCTCCTCGTTCTCGCACACACGTACACATATGACACAGGTTCTGCTCATTATTTTGTCAATCTCGCGAACTCCTTAATTGCGCTCTTTTCCCTCCACTGCTATAGAGCATACAAATGTGATATATTCCTGTCGATATTTAATACAGTCGCCATGGCCCCTTTTCGGCACCGCCAGGTTTTCTGTGCCTGGCAGAAGAACCCAAACGATCCCTGTCTCGGCGACGCAGAAGCGGTGGTCGACTGTATTCAACGATGCGCCCGCGATAGTAGTTGGTACGATCAGCGCTACGCCCAATCACCAACAGCTGAGCCCCTTTCCGAGGATATGGTGCGCCTGGTGCGGTCTCAGCTAGCTACTCTGTTTTATGAACGTATGGCCTTCGGCATCTTATGCACCTTGAAGTTCAGACTCGAATGGCGTCCGGATGGCATGCAACATTGTATACGGTCTTTCGACCAGCCTCGTCTGCTTCCTAAAATCTTCGCTCCCCGTTCTCGCCCTGTTCGAGATCACCTATTAGAATACGCAAACGTCCACGTTGCTATTTATTTCGATTGGTTTGACCACGCCTTCTTATATGGTCACAATGGGTTTCAGACTCAAAAGTTGGGCCGGTACATCTGGAGAAAATGGTTCCACTGGCATGGCGGCCAGCCGCCCTTTTTGGGCTACCAGATGTTTGCAAAGCCCATTGGCTTAAGGGGCAGCAAGCCCAGGGATATCCAGAACCTACGCGAGTTCCATCGCAGCCTTTGTGATGCCGTTTCTATCGGCCTTAGCCAACAAGAGCTCCCAAAGCCGAGCCCATCGACGCATCGCTCCAGCCAGATGCGGTCACAGCCTAGGAATCCAAAGCCGCCACAGCTTACGAATGTCAGAACTTATAAAAACAGAGGCCGGGAAATGGCACATCTGTTTCGAGCGATTGTCATTATCGTAGATAATCAAGTAACGCAACACAAAGAGTCTGAAATATGGCACCCTGTATTAACGCCCGAGGAGATTCAGGGACCACTCGCGTATATGGAGCAACGACGAGATTGGGTCGTTTCCCAGCACTCAGTACTATTGTTTAGGACGGGAGACGATACACATTTAAGTTCTCCCATTAGCTTCCAGTCCTTATACGACTCGGGGAAAGCATTACCAGTAAATAGACCAGATTGCGACGACGACGACGGGATAAATATAATCCGAGTTAAAATTGATACAGCGCTCGAGTTCGTTTTCGACCTAATCTACCGGGAACGGGAAACGCTGCCGTCTATCGGTTTAGCAGCCGAAATAGAGAACCAGCAGCATTCCGAAGCTTGCGAGAAATGGGTTGATAATGTTATGGAACATGCCGGAAGAGTCGGTATCGACACGAACGGTTTTACGTGGGAAGCCGTTCGCCGAGCCAAGGCCGCGCTGAACGGGGAGGCTTTCGATAGGGACCAAATCGATCCTACGTGGAACCATCTCGGTACGACTACTCTACCAATTGGCTGGGTTGATCCGCCCAATGAACTGAGAAGCGACGTAACCGTATTGCCGTAGACCATGCAATACCCGCAATATGAGCTAACAGAGCTTTATCCGCGGGAGGGTCTTCCCCAAAATTTTGCTATCTTTCGATCTACAGCTTTTGGCCGATCTCTCTGGGGCTAATTCTCAGTTAGTACCAGATTCTATCTTGTTATTCAAGTCCTCAAACACTAACCACATCCCCTTGAAGCTCTGAAACACATGATGAGCCGTATCACTCTTTCATAACCGCATATGCGTTCCTGAACTTAGCACTCTCCGGCCATGGTAGTTTTAATTCTATAGCCATCGAATCCCGGACAGCGCCACGCGGAGGCGTCAGGATCCGACCTTGCTGCCCACCCTGGAAGGTCATAACGGCAAGGTTATTGTACTATCGGAATTTCCAGGGGAGGTTTATGTGCATAGACCGGGTCAACCTCGCCTCCTCGGCTAACCTCCAGAGAGGCGCTTTAGAGAATTTAGATCGAGTCGGATTTCGTCTTCAAAGCTCCCCACACAAGGTGGATCACCGTTAATCTGCGTGATCAACGTCTACCAATGTCCGAGCTGCTGTGGCAGTCGTACGTACAAGATGCGGTCAGCCAAGGTTTAATACCCCCCTCCAAGCTTCGGGTGGTTTGGGTCGACACGGTGCTTAATACGGAGACCAAGATTGTGGCCTGGTGTAACAAGGGCTTGATTTCAAGGGCTTGGAAGAGTGTTCAAATTGCAATAATCATCTGGGGCATCAAGAGGGCCATAAGGTCTGGTCCTCCCTTTCAGCCAGGCGGCGACCTTGGTCTCTATATGCGAAAACCTCGCTTTCGTTCCTGGCCCTCACTCGCTCTCGTATCCCTTTGAATGGCGCAAAGGCCAACGAGGCCTTTAAGCAGGAACAGCCGACCTACCACATAGCGCCCAACTTTACGACTCGTCTATTTCCCAACGGTCCCCTCAAGCTCGGCACTCTGGTCGAATATATCACGCAATATTATCCCATTAATCAAGGTGCCACCAACCGAGTTCCTATCCCAGACGGGCAACGTTATTCGGATGCTAAAGAAAAATTTGACGCCAGTCTCAAGATATCCCACACTAGGGAGTACAATAATAGTATTATCTGAGCATTATTTGTTGTTGTATTAGGTGTATCTGGCTGTGTATGCGGTCCCGCTATTCCACTCTTAGTCACCTAGCCGAAGCGTCATTCAAAGGGATAGCCTGTCTTGTTCGATTAAACACATACGGGAGCCAGCCTTGCCGCTCATATGGTTACATACATGATATTGGAATACGGTATTTGGCCGAAGGCTCTCGGGTGGTCCCAGTCCCTTGGGTCCGTATAACACCTAGGAAGCCGTTACCAGGTCCCTCACGGACAGGATCGTCCGTTTAAATGATCACGAGATACGACTAGAATATACCAAGTACGAGACGGGCTTCGAATCTCTTATAGGCAGTCGATTAGGGCAGATCGTTGCTCGAATGCTAGCCGACCATCGAAGGGAGTTCGGCACCGTGGTCGGCAGACGCACTATTGAAAGAATTTGTCTACTAGGACCAGTAACGTTTCTCGATAAAGAAGTACAACCACGACAATGGAGACCATCTTTCCACATGTACTTCATTCTTTCTGGACAGAACGGAGTCCCACCGTCCTACCTCCCCCCAGCAATCCGCCCCAACCAAACCCTCCTCCCCGCCAATTCCATTCTAATACTAACAAAACACGCATGGCCGGAAGAGCAAGACGGTTCCAGCTGTAATCTCAGGCCCGTAGCCGAAGTTTGACTGTCCACCACCAGATTACCATCCCACCACGACCAATAAGTTACACTGCATTTTGGTGACTATACAAACGGCTCATTGTGTGGCCTTATACAGACATACTTTCTAGAGACGCTGTTGTGACTGGAATTCTCTATCTTACATTCCACTTTGTATCTGGTTGGTTACTTCAGTTGGTTAGAGCGTCGTACTAATATTATGAGAGATCGTAATATCGGTGATGCGAAGGTCATGAGTTCGACCCTCATACTGACCATCTAGACCCTTTTTGTGGTTTAGTTCTCATATAGTACAGAGCAAGTCCTTTTGAGAGGGCTAGGTTAAGGATAGGCCAGTGCCCAAAGCTAAGCACTGGAATTAGGTAAAGGATGAGTGTATAAGAGTTCCTTAAACAAATTGTTTTACCAATTAGAATAATAACCTTACCCATTGGAAGAATAACTTTACCCGTTGAATTCGTCGGTTTCGAAGGCATTGCTGAGAGAATTGTGGCGGGGCAAGTTCTACGTTCTGCGTTCTGCGACATAACGCGCCCTTCTTAATTGGCCCCACTACTAGCGTGAATCCCGGTCCTAACTGAGCGCGTGCTGACGCGCTTTTTGAAAACCACTTTATTACAGTATAGGGTAGGTACAGAATACACCACGGAAGGGAGGGACCTCGCCCCATTCTTCATTTATACCATGCAACATAACTGTATACCACAACCACATAGTAACTATACAAACCGGACCACCACAACTTCAAAAACGAGAAGCAATATACGCCCTCATATCGCTTCAACGTAGGACATACGCCATTCACATCACATCACACACACACAGGTAGCAGTCATGGCGACAGCCATTCTGCCTCAAAAGCGTGCCCTTGGGGACGCATCCAGCCGCCGCATCGTCCCCTCCACACCATCTACCACAAAGCGACGTCGGTTAGAGCCTCTCACTTCCTCGCCGGCATCGCGCCTCAACAGTTCACAACAAAAACCTGGCCCCAAGCTAGGGTCGAGCCAGCCGAAAAGCGCCTTCGAGTCCGAAGTTCTCGAGAAGCTCAGCCAAGATATCTCCGAGCTTAGGCAAGCCAACGCAGAGAAAGACCAGGCCTGGGAACGCCCGCCCGTCGTCGACTTCGACCCCAACCGTGATAGCCTCACCTTCCAGCAGATCGAAGCCGAGGAGGGCTTTCTCAATGGCGGCCGACCCACGGTCAAATTGTTTGGTGTCACCGAGAATGGCCACTCGGTCATGTTGCACGTCACCGACTTCAAGCACTACCTATACGTCGCTGCGCCGGTTTCCTTTACACCCAATGACTGCGAATCTTTCAAAGCCTATCTTGAGACGCAGTTGGCTCAGCATCAACCTGCCATCCACTCGTGCCAAGTCGTCTTGAGGGAAAACATCTATGGCTTCCAAGGAAACACACAAAGCCCGTACATAAAGGTCTCGGTGACCGACCCCAAATTCATTGCAAGAGTGCGAACCCTGATCGAGACCGGAAAAGCCAATTGGAAGGGTTTATGGAAGTCGGCCGAAGGCGGCGTCTTGACGTTCGATACCCTTCAATATGTCTTGAGATTCATGGTTGACTGCAAGGTATGGATTCTTTCCAGATACTCGGACTTACTTGCTAACTTGATCAGATCCCCGGTATGTCATGGGTTGAAGCACCTGCGAAGAAGTACCGACTCATCGATGAGGCCCACCGGCATTCGAGCTGCCAGATTGAAGCAGAGGTTAGCTATATTGATCTGATTTCCCACGAACCTAAAGGCGAATGGTCTAAGATGGCCCCCTTGCGTATCCTATCGTTTGATATCGAATGTGCCGGCCGGAAAGGTATATTTCCTGAGGCAAACCAAGATCCAGTCATTCAGATTGCAAATGTTGTCACCCGATACGGAGAGAGCAAGCCTTTCATCCGGAATGTCTTCTGTCTCGATACCACCAGCCCAATTGTGGCCACACAAATTCTTGACTATGATGACGAAGGCGAAATGCTCAAGAGCTGGAAGAAATTCCTGGACAAGGTTGATCCCGATTTAATCACTGGCTACAACATTGCCAACTTTGACTTCCCCTATCTCCTTGACCGCGCGAAGCATTTGAAGGTCAACGGATTCGAATACTGGACCCGATTGCCCAGCGTTAGATCGGCCCATAGAGAAACAAATCTCTCTAGCAAGCAGATGGGTAGTCGGGACACCAAAGTTACAAATACCAATGGCCGTCTCCAGTTGGACTTGTTGCAGCTGATTCAGCGTGATCATCAACTGCGTAGTTACACGTTGAACTCAGTGTGCGCTCATTTCTTAGGAGAGCAGAAGGAAGACGTCCATTATACAATGATCACAGAGTTATTCAACGGAACACCGGAATCCAGGCGTCGTTTAGCGCTTTACTGCCTGAAGGACGCCTATCTACCCCAAAGGCTCATGGACAAGCTTTCGTGTTTGGCTAACTACACAGAAATGGCTAGAGTCACAGGTGTTCCTTTCAATTTTCTTCTATCTCGCGGACAACAAATCAAATTCTTAAGTCAGCTTTTCCGGAAGGCTTTAGAGCAAAAGCTTGTGATTCCAAACATGAGAGCAGAAGGAACAGATGACCAATACGAAGGAGCTACTGTTATCGAGCCTAGTCGTGGATATTATAAAGTTCCTATTGCCACTCTCGATTTCGCTTCACTATACCCTAGTATCATGCAAGCTCACAATCTTTGCTACACGACCCTCATAAAAAAACCAGCAGTTGAAAAGTTTGGTCTTAAGAAGGACGAAGACTACATTGTAACACCAAATGGTGACATGTTTGTCACAGCTAAGCAACGAAAAGGCTTACTCGCCCAAATTCTGGAAGAATTGCTGTCAGCCAGAAAACAGGCGAAGAGGGAGCTTGCAGTGGAGACGGACCCTTTCAAAAAGGCCGTGCTGAATGGTCGGCAACTTGCGTTGAAAATCAGTGCCAACAGTGTCTATGGTCTAACTGGAGCAACAACTGGCAAACTTCCCTGCCTCGAGATCGCCAGTAGCACGACGAGTTACGGTCGTCAGATGATCGAAAAGACCAAAGACGAGGTCGAGAAACGCTATAATATTGCCAATGGTTATTCTCATGACGCCCAGGTCATCTATGGTGACACGGATTCCGTCATGGTCAAGTTCGGAACCGAGGATCTTGCTGAAGCCATGAAACTTGGAGAAGACGCAGCGAATTTTGTATCGTCCAAATTCACCAAACCAATCAAGCTTGAATTTGAAAAAGTTTACTACCCATATCTACTGATCAACAAGAAACGTTACGCTGGTCTTTTCTGGACAAGGCCCGATAAATACGACAAAATGGATACCAAGGGTATTGAGACGGTTCGACGAGACAACTGCTTGCTAGTGCAGACCGTTATCGAGAAAGTGCTTCGTATGATCTTGATTGATCGGGACGTATCAGGTGCTGAAGAGTAAGATTGATTTCCAAGTCCAAATTGGCACTTTGCTCAAAATACTGATCCCCTACTTAGATACGTTAAACAAACAATCTCAGAATTGTTACAGAACAAGGTCGACATGTCGAAATTGGTGATCACAAAAGCTCTAACCAAAGAAACCTACGATGCCAAACAAGCTCATGTCGAGCTAGCTGCGCGCATGAAGAAACGTGACGCTGGTTCTGCGCCCGGCTTAGGTGACCGCGTGGCTTATGTCATGATCAAAGGTTCCAGAGGCTCCAAGAACTTTGAAAACTCTGAAGATCCCATCTACGTCCTCGAGAACAACGTTCCCATTGATACGAGATATTACCTGGATAACCAGCTTGCTAAACCTCTGGGTCGCATCTTCGAGCCTATTCTGGGCGAGACGAAGGCCAAGTCACTGCTCACGGGCGCGCACACGCGTTCCATCGCAGTAGCAGCATCAACAGTGGGCGGTCTCATGAAATTCGCGAAGAAGACCATGACGTGCATGGGATGCAAGAAGCCCCTGGTGGGCAAGGAGGAGAGTGCGGGTGCGGTCTGCTCGAACTGCGCGCCGCGGGTCGGCGAACTATACAACAAGACGCTCGACAAGGTATCGGATCTTGAGGTGCGCTTCGGGCGGCTCTGGACGCAATGCCAACGGTGCCAAGGTAGCATGCACTGCGAGGTTATTTGTAGCAGCAAGGACTGTCCCATCTTCTATATGCGCATGAAGGCCAAGAAGGACGTCGAAGATGCGGGGAAGGAGCTTAAGAGATTCGACTTTGACCAGGCAGTTTTGTGGTGAGAGCTCGGCGCGCGGTGGGAAACATGGGTAGGGTGTTCGTAATGATGCATCAGGGCATGGCGCATAGGCGTTCTTTAGGCGTTTATTGTTAGGCCCATCGCCTTTTGTCAATTCTTGATGACGATGAGCATTCGAGGTTTGGAACAATATCTAGTTACTTAATGCATGCCTATAGTTACCCTCGAGAGTATAAATACTGAAAGTTTTGTACACGTCAAGTCTGCTCGCTCGCTAAGATGGTGAGGACGGTTAGCTCTGCCTGCTTTTAGCTGTGCTATTATCAGCATGCTGAAACACATGCGCTGCGTGTACCTTACTTAGTAGGCATTATGAATATGATGATGAGCATGAAACTATAATATGGAGTTGTTGATAAAGACCCAAGGCGAAGTCGGTCCGCGAACTTTTGGACCGGTGTCGGAGGTTCTAACTCTACCTCCCTACCCCACCATTGGCGTGAAAATTTACAGCGCCTTCTCTGCTATAGTCCCACCGAGCCCATCCACGGGGAGTTAGTTGCCGCATCTTACCTACCTGGTTCAAGCACTCTAACTAGAGCTGCATCCCTTCCCCCTTAGGCGCCGTCGGTATGGTATATTTAGTGTACAGTAGGCACGCTACAGGGTTGCTGCTACTGTACTTCGTAGGTGTTCCCAATGCGCAACGTGCAGGTCCACTCTGCTGCAGCACTCTTACATGCGTCGGCGAGCGCCGTCATGCCTCTCAGCCATGCTACATGTGTCCGCTATGCAAGCATACCTTTCCCGGTACATAGTATCTTGCAGTTGACCAGCGAAACTTCATTGGTCCAACCACTGTAGCATTATGGATCGCAAATGACAGCTAACGTACGGTGATACTTTATGAATATTACAGCGAATGAAAGAAGTTGACGGCATTTTGGCTATGCGTAGCGAGGATATGGCGCTCTGTTGCGACAATGGGATGTGTTGGGGTCACGAGACTTACAAACCCTGCACCTTTTGACGCTTTTCTCTACT